CGTGAATTTCAGGACAGCCAGGGCTCTACAGAGAAACCCTGTCTCAACTCCTTCCCGCCCCCCCCTCCCCAAAGAGAGAGAGAGAGAGAGAGAGAGAGAGAGAGAGAGAGAGAGAGAGAGAGAGAGAGAGAAGAAAGAAGTTAGGCAAAGGGCGGGTGAAGAAAACCAGAGACAGTCCCAGAGAGACGCTCTGAAGGGTCCAAGTTTAACCTCAGCTAGCCTGCCCAGCTGGAGAGCCCTCACCCCATTGCAGCTTAGAGACCCCGAATCTCACACCAGCCAGGCTCCTGCCTGGAGTCCCTGGTGAGGTGAGATGAGGGGACCCGGCCCACTGGCCAAGTTGGGCCAGGCAGGAGAGCGCGCTCCATCGTGAAACACTTGGAGTTCCATGTCCCCTCCTTTGCGGCTCCCGGGGGTGGGGCAGGGTGTCCTGTACCCTCCGAGGGCACCAGGCTGGGCACCCATGCCTACTGTTGCCCATCGCTGCTCTAAGTTCGGCTCCCTCTGGGATTCAGATTCTACAGTTGCTGGCGGCCACAGCCTCACCCAGAGCAGGGTCCTGTGGTCTCCGGTGTGCTAATGGGCCAGAGCCTGAGCACATCTGGACACGGGAGGGTCCTGTAAAGTGACCCAGAGACCAAATGAGGGCCATGCGAAGGTGAGCGCTGTGGAGGACAGGACAGGAAACCCCGGGGAACAGGGTAGGAAGTCCCCGGGACCAGGAAAGAGGCCTCCATCACTGAGTGTGAGGTTCTTACACAGATTCTCTGAAGAGCTAGGGGGCCCTGTCTAGAGTTGACCCAAACTAAGGCAAGGCACGAGGCCTCTGAGCCTCCCCACTTATCAGCCATACCGGCTTCAGGGAAGAGGGCATGCCCTAGTCCTGAGAAAGGGACACTGAGCTGAAATGTAAAGGCTGAGAAAGAGGGCAGGTAGAGGGCACCTGTGGAGGGGGAGGGTTGGAAATGCCAGAGGTGCCAGAAACCAGCTAACAAGGGCCGGGCACCAGGAGTTGGGAGCTTAGTCGATCCTCAGATCTATTCAGTGCCTTGAGGGGCTTCCGTTGGGAGGCGGCCCATCAGCTTGGTGTTCCCAGGAAAGAAGGGTTGTGGAGACAGCCGAGAGATAAGGTACTTATGCCTGGAGTTCGGGTTCCCAGAATCCGCAGAGGGCCAGATGTTGTGGCACACATCTGGAATCTCAGTGCTCCCGTGGCGAGATGGGGGACAGGGACAGGAGAATTCCTGGGAGCCCAAGGCCCAGCTACACTCGTGTAAGCAGTGGTGAACCAGAGACCCCGCCTCAAATAAAGTGGAAGTCGGGGGCCAACACCTGAGGTGGTCAGATCTGACCTCCACGTGTACACCATGACATACATGTAGAAATATGAACACTCATGAATATGTACGCATGCAACTTACACATACATTTTATTTTATTTTATTTCATTTTGAGACAGGGTCTCACTGTGTAGTCCTGACTGGCCTGGGACTTACTATGTAGACCAGGCTGTCCTTGAACTCACTGAGATCCACTTACCTCTGCCTCCCAAGTGCTGAGATAAAAGGCATGCATCACCACATCTGACCTATATGCACACACTTTTATTTTCAAGTGGGAGAAGAGCTGTGCTGAGGGGAGAAGGGAGAGACCACAGCGAAGCTTGGGAGGTTTGCTGCAGGATGAAGCCTGTGCCTGAGGAGCTGCCTGAGGAGCTGAAAGGGAAGGGCCAGAAACCAGGAAGTTGGGGCCTTGAGGAGAGAAGCCCCCACAGCAGGAATGTGAGGATAAAGTGGCCCTCAGTAGGGACCCCAGTGGAGAGATACAAGCCAGGCCTGAAAACCTGAAGAAAGACTACCAGGGGGCGGAGGGGGAAGGAACAGTCTTTTGAAATTATGACATTCTATTGTCATCTACAAATGGGTTAGGACATGTTCATAGCTATCCTGGGACATAGGTGGCCCCAGGGCCACATGTAGGACACACTTTGTAGACTTATTGGGAAGCTCTCTGGGGGCCCCATGTTCATGTTCATGGAAATCATGCACATCGAGGAACCGCCCTGGTCAGCCTCATCTGTGCATGCTACTCAGCCTGGTACCCAGTGGGCACCCACTGAATGTCAGAAGCCTGGGGCAGGGGTAGATGGGAAAGGGACCTGCTCTCAGGAGACTCTCTGCTCCCTTTGTGGTTGGGGCCCCTGGCCAAGATGGAGACCAAGTTAGAGAGAGAAGATGAGGTCAGCTTGGGACATGCCCAGGCCATGGGTCTGGTATCAGCTCCCAAAGAGTCTCCAGGACCAGGGGAGAGAGGGGAGAGAGCAAAGAGCATGGGGGGTCAGAGAGGGGGCTTTGGGACCTCAGGAACCACCTGTGGGGACAGGTAGACGAGGACCAAGAACACAGAGAGGACGGAAGTCCAGTGCTGCCTGGGCAAGGCTTGCTCAAGGGAGAGGTGTGGTGATATTGTGTCCCCCAATATATTGTGCACCCTAATAAACTTATCTGGGGTCAGGGAACAGAACAGCCATAGATAGATATAGAGGCCAGATAATGGTGGCACACACATCTTTTTTTTTTTACAATTTATTTATTTTTTTCATCAGTAATTCATGTTGATAGTATGCTGAAATTACAATACCTTGAGTAGCTTAGATTTCACAATTGAGATGACTTTCTCTCCCTCCCCCCCCCCTGCCCCGTTTTTACTTTTTTGGGGGAGGATTGTAGTCTGATTGTTCTTTATTTTATATCTAGAATCCACTTATGAGTGAGTACATACCATGACTGTCTTTCTGGGTTTGGGTTACCTCACTCAGGATGATTTTTTCTAGTTTCATCCATTTGCCTGCAAATTTCATGCTTTCATTGTTTTTCTCTGCTGAGTAGTACTCCATTGTGTATATGTACCACATTTTTTCCATCCATTCTTCCGTTGACAGGCATCTAGGTTGTTTCCAGGTTCTGGCTATTACAAATAGTGCTGCTATGAACATAGCTGAGCATGTATCTTTATGGTATGAATCAGCATTCCTTGGGTATATGCCCAAGAGTGGGATGGCTGGGTCTTGAGGTAGTTCGATTCCTAATTTTCTGAGAAACTGCCACACTGATTTCCACAGTGGTTGTACAAGTTTACATTCCCACCAACAGTGGAGGAGTGTTCCCTTTGCTCCACATCCTCTCCAACATTGGTTGTCATTGGTGTTTTTGATCGTAGTCATTCTGACAGGTGTAAGGTTGTATCTCAGAGTCGTTTTGATTTGCATTTCTCTGATGATTAAGGATGTTGAGCATTTCTTTAAATATCTTTCAACCATTTGTAGTTCTTGTTTTGTGAATTCTCTGTTTAGCTCTTTAGCCCATTTTTTAATTGGACTGTTCAGTATTTTGATGTCTAGTTTCTTGAGTTCTTTATATACTGTGGAGATCAATCCTCTGTCAGATGTGGAGATGGTGAAGATCTTTTCCCATTGTTAGCTGTCTTTTTGTCTTATTGACTGTGTCTTTTGCCCTGCAAAAGCTTCTCAATTTTGAGAGGTCCCATTTATTAATTGTGGCACACACATCTTTAATCCTAGCATTCCAGAGGGATCTCTTTGAGGGATCCTGTCATCCGTCTGGATCTCTGTGAGTTCAAAGCCACACTGGAAACAGCCAGGCATGGTGACTCACACCTTTAATCCCAGGAAGTGATGGCAGGAAGCAGAAAGGAATATAAGTGTGAGGATCAGGAACTAGAGCTGGTTAAGCTTTTAGTCTTTTGAGCAGCACTTTAGCTGAGATCTCTTCCTGTTGAGGACTCAGAGGCTTCCAGTCTGAGGAAACAGGATCAGCTGAGAAGTTGGTGAGGTGAGGTTAGCTGTGGCGTGTTCTGTTTCTCTGATCTTTCAGCGTTCACCCCGTTTGTTTGTTTGTTTGTTTTTTATTAATAAGACCCTTGAAGATTCGTGCTACAGAGAGGAGGCACCATGAGGTTTGAGACTCCGCTGGGTAGTCAAGGAGCGCTTGGAAACCAGGACCTCTGTGGGACAGCCAACCATGTGGCATCCCCCAGTGTCCTTCCTGCCCTTGTGCTGATGTCTGGAATGCCTCTCTACTCTTTGAGTGCCCGGGTTCACCCCTATAAGCCCTGACATCCCACATCCCAGTCTCCTGAGGCCCCTTTCACAAGACGTCCCCCTGAGGAGCTTCCTCCCTGGAAACTGCTGCTTCAGCCCACATTCAAATCAGACAACAGGAAGGACTTCCTGACTGGGAGAGCTGGGAGGCCTGGACAAGGTAAACTGTTCCAAGAAAAGGAACAGATTGTCTCAGTGACTTCCGGAGGCTCTCTTCTGTGCATATGCTTGTAGCCGTAAGTTTTCCTGCGTCCTGCTCCGACCCGCAGCCGCTCAGACCCCAGTAAACACACAGAGGCGTATATTAATTATGAACTGGATGGCCTATGGCTCAAGCTTCTTGCTTGCTAGTTCTTATATCTTAAATTAACCCATTTCTATTAATCTATGTTTTGCCATGTGTTCTGTGGCTTTACCAGTCTGCTGGCAAGTTGTTCCTTGGGCAGCAGGCTGGCATCTCTCCCTCCCCTCCTCTCTTCTTCCTGTCTATCTGCTTGTATTTCCACCTGCCCCTAAGCCGCCTTGCCATGGGTCAATACAGCTTTATTTATCAACCAGTCAGAGCAACACATATTCACAGTGTACAGAAAGACATCCCACAGCACTTTCCCTTTTCTGTCTAATCAAAAAGGAAGGTTTTAACTTTAACATAATAAAATTACATATAATAGAACAGTAATCAAGCAGGAATTACAGTAATAATATCTAGTCTATTTATATTTGGCAAAATTAAAAGAAAATATTCTATCTAGTCTTCAACTACATCAAAGACCCCAGAAGGATATAATATTACTCGAGTAAACAGGAAGAGCATTATAAGCAACTTCCAAAAATCTAGAATGACAGAGACATCTGGCTGCCTGGACAGTCACCCAAAGTTCCTCTGCAACGTTGGGGTACCCATCTTCAGCCTACAGGCCTAGCATATCTGACAGACTCATCTGTGAAGCAGGATTTTCTAAAGGGCTTTTCTGCCTTGTCTTGGCAAGGATCGGCAGTCCTTTCTTCTGAGTCTCCACCTGGGCAGGACAGGAAGGACAGGGTCACAGGCCAGAGAGGAGGAGGTACCTGCTGGTAAACGTTAAGAGTCCGAGTTCAGAACTAGACTTGAATTAAATCAAAATTTAAAATTAATTAATTAATTAATCAAAATAAAGTTTAGTCTGTCTGCATGGTTGCACACTCCCTTAGTCTCAGAGTGGGAGGCAGAGGCAGGTGGATCTCTGTGAGTTCTAGGCCAGCCTGGTCTACAGAGTGAGTTCCAGGACAGAAGGGCTACCTTGTGAGACTTTGTCTCAAAAACAAACCAAATCAAAATCTGAATGTTTGATTGAAAAAAAAAAGTTACAGAAGTTACAGAGGCAGACTCTACCTGAGGGCTTCTTGGCACCAGACACAGCCAGGTTCTTCACTTGCGTCCCCAAAGGACCCCTATTATCCTGTATGACAGCTCTTTGAGTCCCCATCTTAATGAGCTAACTGAGGCTGGGTTTCTGGTTTCAAGGTGAGGGTCACTTGCTGGACTAGAACAACTCAACCATTACTCTTTGTTTGTTGTTTTGGCTTTGGTTTTAGTTTTTGAGACAGGGTCATAGAGGCTAAGGTAGCCTGGAACTCACAGTAATCCTCCTGCCTCCGCCTCACAAGTGCTAGGATTACAGACATGAGCCACCAGGACTGGCTTCTGCGAGCACGCTTGAACTGTCCCAGGATGTTGTTTTTCTCCACTACAAAAACAAAGTGGTAGTGAGGCAGGAGGATAGACAGAATGACCTCCTGGGGGCTCTTGGGATCCTTGAAGTCATAGTCACAGCCGCTGAGCCCAGAGCCTATGAAGATTCCCACAGAGCACAGGTAAGTAGCGTGCTGGGGCACAACCATCTCATTAAGCAATTACATGTGAGTGCCACAGCCAGGAAGTGACCTCACTGCCAGCTGGATACCACCGCTGCTGTGAGGGGACATAATGGGAACAATCCGGGTAGCAGCAGTGGTGGCGTCAGCAGTGACGCGGTCTGGTGGTGGAAAAGGTGACGGCTGTTAGATCTTGGTGTCAGGAGAAGCGGCCAAGCTGGTAATGAGTAGGTGGAGGTTCTGGCGATGGTACATGGTGGTGGCACATCCTAGCCTTGATGGACCGGTGACGTGGGGCAGGCAGTGTGGCTCAGTGTTTGACACTCCTATGAAACCCTCCCCGATGGACAGCTGACAACTCCATCTCCTCCCTTGCAGTGGCTCACGCGAGAGGCAGAGGGCGGAAGCGGGGCACTCGCCTTCAGGTGCTTTCTTCGTCATAAAATAGGGATAGCTGAGTAGTAGCGGTCTAGACGGCTTGCCTGGACATCCGTGAAGCCTTGGAGTCCATCCCCAGCACAGCAGGAAACCCATGTGACAGTCCTACCACTCCGGAGGTGGAGCCGAACGAGCAGGAGTTCAAGGTCATCTTCAGCTCCACAGAGTGTTTGAGGCCAGCCTCCAAAATCAATGAATAGAAAAGGAGGCTGGCCACAAACGGCCTCAGCTCCCTGAGGGCCCATCACGGTTGTCTGCTGCAGCCATTGGGATTTTATCTTCTGTCATTCCCTGCCTCCCTCCAGCTGTTTTATCAGCCAGCAAGTGCAAGCTTTTCTGCAGAGCCACACTAGTGGCATTTTAGGCTTCCAGCTTCCTGCCTGCCCAACTCCAGGTATAGAGGGGAAGCAGTGGGGGGGGGGGTGTCTCAGAGTGCCAGCTTTCGGGGTCCTGGAGAGAAGTGTCCGGGTCAGCTCGGAGCTCTGGTGTTACTCGTGGCTCTCTTGGTGGGTCAGCACTGTGTGATCTAGATATAGTTCACTGCCGGAGGACCGGTTCCTTCAGCCTCTCCGGCTGTGTGTGAATTCCTACTTCTCTGTATTAAAATACCTGTCTACCAGCTGGGCCTGGAATCGCAGCTCTTCAGAAAGCTGAGGCAGGAGGATCAGAAGCTGGAGAATCTGAGGTTGGAGGTCAGCCTGGGCTAAAGAGGTAGATCTTGTCTCCAAAGAGGCAATAAAAAAACAGTGGACCAGACTGTGTGACCGGAAGTGATACTGAGCCAGCAGTAACTGAAGTGGGAGGGGCCGGGGAGCCCTAAGGAGAGGGCAGGGTTCGGAAGGCCTTTCTAAACTAAGGAGGTTGGGAGAATGAGGAACCAGACACGTGGGGAATCTTGGGGCAGCTGTGTCTCAAATCCCTAGAGCAGGAGCAAGCTTGCTGGATCTGCAGATCAGAAACATGGCAGCAGATCCAGAGCATAAAAAGCCAGGAGCAGGGGGAAGAGGAAGACAAAAGACAGCCAGGGAAAGACCTAGCATTCTGCTCTTGTCCACTGGAAGTCAGTAAAGGTGTCCTAAATTCCCACGTCCTCGGGAATGACTGGGTAAGAACAAGATGGGAATGGAGAACACGGATTCAAGGGGAGCAGACTGAGGTGGGCTCCTGTCTCCTCAGTGCGGCGTGAGGCCAGGACATCACTGCACAGAGCAGGAGCGGAGATGGATAATATCACTAGGATTGTATCAGGCCAAGTGTCTTATCTGGATACCCAATATGGGCCTAAGTGACCTGGCTCTCAACTGGCCCTTATGCTCCTGGACATCGTCAGGTGAGTAACAGAGACACTTTCTGTCACTGAGAGCAGAAAGGAGAGCCCCAGGTACCACAACCATAAGAACAACTAAAGCCCTGGTAACGTGGTTACAACCATCTTCCCACGAATATGCACAGGGCAAGAGCACCCTGACCAGACAGGTCACCAAGGGACCCAGCCCCTCCCAGAGCTGTCCTTGGGACACAACAGGAGGCATGCTGGGATGTGATGACAGAAATCAGCTACTGCAGGGACTTTCAGTTAGTGCCCTCAACCAGTGGTTTCTCAGCATGCATGCCTCTGAAGAGAGTCCCGCAGACCCTGGCAGAGCTGACCCACACTCAGCCAGCTGTCCCTAGGCCGAGCCAGAGCGATGTCACCGGTCTCTGTAAGCAATAGCACCTTGAGTGGGAAAGCAAATGGAGATGGCAACCACCCGCCTGAGTCCTGGCAGGTATGTTCTGGAGTGGGTGCTTATGGAGAGGAGGAGGGCCCTGACCCTCCCCCGATGCTGAGCCACCCCTCCCCCACTGCCCTCCAGCCCATTCACCAAGAGCTGGCACTCCAGCCCAGGAGCCTGAGGCCCTGGGCTCCAAGCCACTGCCTGACTCAGTCTTGAGCAGGAATCCTGGGCTGGATCTGGACTGGGAGGGATCAAGCAAGGTTGAGTCTCCCTGTTCCCTTATCCTAGGATGAACCCTGACCTTGGTCTCTGAGCCTGAGCATGTTAGCCGGGATCATTCGAAGCCCAGACACAGACCCTTCTGTTCCAAGTTGCGACCTGATGGGTCTAGAGAAAATGTTCCTACCTATCTGAACCTAAAGCACGCCCCAGCTCAACTCTACAATCATGACAAGACCTGGCCCAGGAGCCCAAACAAGCTCCAAGGGTGGCTGGCTCAGCATCTCTCACCCCTGCAGTTCAGGCCTGTCTCCTGTTTGGAAAACCAAACACGGAAAATTAAAGCCAATTAAAACCATGCATGGTGGCATACACCTGTACTGCCAGCACTTTGGAGATGGAGGCAGGAGGATGGGTAGTTAGAAACTAGCCTGAGCTACAGAGTAACCTAAGTCTGAAAAGAACAAGGGCTGGGGGTGTGGTTTAGCGGCCAAGTGCTTGCCTGCCTAGCATGTTTTAAGGCCCTGGGTTTGATCCTCAGCATCACAGAATAAACAAACAAATAAGGACTGATTAACCCCTTACGTCTCCTTCTTACTTTGTGACACATCTTTATCTTAGGAAATAAAGCCTAAAGGCCAAGTACATTTTCTGAAGCATTAAATCTCCCTCCCTCCCTGTCAGGCTCCTCTTTTGATCCGAAGAACTCTTACCCTAACCTCCTGACCTCCTGTACCCAAACTGCCCCCTGGGAGCTGGTAGGAGACAGACCGGTGACCTAGAGTCTGTCTGAGAGGGTGTGGTGCCTCACCTGGCCCGAGAGCAACGTCTTCCCCTCAGTGCTCCAGCTCTGACGTCCAACCCCAACTGCAAGCCCAACAGGACGCCCAGGAAACATCTTGGTAGAGCCCAGCATGTGAGGTTCCGATCCTGCGGCCACTTCCTGGCTTGGATACTTTGTGTCTGTGACTCGATGTCTCTGCCTCAGCTTGGTTGTCTGTCAAATAACAGTAACAGCAAATCTGTGAAGACAGAATGTGATGAGGGCGAGAAAGCCCGAGGGGCCAGCAAAATGGGCTAAGTGCTATGTTACACAGTCCGGAGGACACAAGCTCCACTGGAAAAGTAGAGATGGAGCCGGGCTGCACAGCCATCCTCTGACCTGCACACGCTAGCCATGGAGAGTGCGTACCCATCATGCATACACATGATTTTCTTTAAAAAAGATTTATTACTATTATTAACTTTTATTATTGTTTTTCTTAATGAATCATTTTTTATTTATTATGTATAGTGTTCTGCCTGCATGTATGTACACCAGAAGGGGGCACCAGATCTCATTATAGATGATTGTGAGCTATCATGTGGTTGCTGGGAATTGAACTCAGGACCTCTGAAAGAATAGCCAGTGCTCTTAACCTCTAAGCCATCTCTCCAGCCCTTAGTTTAGTTTTTCAAGACAGGGATTCTTTGTGTAGCCCTGGCTGTCCTGAAACTCACTCTGCAGACCAAGTTGGTCTCTAACTCAGAGATCTACCTGCCTCCCTCTCCGAAGCTGAGATTAAAGATGTGGCCACCACCCCTTGGCTTAGACATATAATTTAAAAAACAAAGTATATTAAATAAAACATTTCAAAGATGTATTTTATTTTTCAGATTATATGTATTTGTGTTGGGAGTGTGGGTGTTTGCATGTGTGTGCAGATACCTGTGAAGGACTTGGATGCCTTGGATCTGGAGTTACAGGTGATTGTGAGCCCCTTATTGGGGATGCTGAGAACTGGACTCAGGTCCTCAGAAAGAACTCTTAACTACTGAGTCATCACTTCAGCCCCCTCAAACATTTTTATAATTAAAACAAGCACTTTGCCAAAGCTACACAGAGAAACACTATCTCGAAAACAAACAAACAAACAAACAAACAAGCACTTTGTAAACTGTAGAGTGCAATTCTCCTGGCAGGGAACGGCAACAGTTGGCGATGTTGTATGGGCGAAAGCTTCATCCTCCATCAGAGAGCTCAGGGCAGGGATCATTTTTCTCCCGCCTCACTCTGGGGAGGCTCAGAGCCTCCCCAGGACGCACCTGTCCCTCCCCAGGACCAGCACCAACTCTCTGAGGCCGCCTTCCTGCAGGGAGCTCAGGAGGGTGACAGCTGGGTCTCCTCGGGCTCCCCGCTGCAGGGACCAAGACTAGACAGTGCAGAGGATGAGCGAGGAAAGGGAGACGGGAGAAAGGAGCCAAGGGAATCCACGCCAGCACCGGGATTCACCCACCCAAGCTGGGACCAGGCTGAGTGGAGAGCGGTTGGGTGGGGCGCCGAGGCCCCGCCCCTCTGACGTCAATGCCCGGGCCCCCTCCCTTGCCTGCGGTGCGTTCCTAGGACCCAGGAATCCCGTGGGAACCGCTGTGTCTGCAGCTGGTGCCCAGCCCTGTAGGTGCGGGGAATGAGGCTGGAGCGGCAGGGCGGGCCCAGGACGACACTGCCCCTCACTGTGGGAAGTGGCTCTGCCTCCCGCTAGCGGAGCAGCTGCTGGGCAGCTGCGAGTGGAAATGTACTGTCAGCTCCCTCCGCTGGCGGATAACTTCAGAATCGGCATCAATCGGTCCCCATGTGACTTTTAGGCATGCATGTGACAAAAGTCAACCCGAGTGCGTACAAGTCTGAGACAGGGGGACACTGTCATTACTTTCCAGTATTTCTTTACATCTCAGTTAAGACTTTAATTTCTTCTCCTCCACCCTCTCCTCTTCTCCCTCTTCTCCGTTCAACCCCACCACCACCACCACCACCACCACCACCACCACCAACACACACACACACACACACACACACACACACACACACACTCCTTATTGAGCCGGTGTGGTGACATAAGCTTGAGATCCTAGTAGTTGGGAAGTGGACTCAGAAGGATCAGAGTTGTGGGACCACCTGAGACCCTACAACCTCCAACGCCACACCCCAAATTGGGAGTGTATCCATAGGCTGTCATGTATGGATTGCGTTCTCCTCATGAAAGGCCAGGTTGCAGTGTATTTGTCAGAGGGGCACAGAGCCAGGTTGGTGCACACCTTTAATCCCAGCACTGGGGAGGCAGAGGCAGCCTGATCCACAAAACAAGGTCCAAGACAGCAAGGGCTGTTACACAGAGGAACCCTGTCAGGGGCGGGGGTGGGGGTGGGGGCGGAGTAGAGGAGCGTGGGGTGGGGTGGGGTGGGGTGGGGGAAGGGGTGGGGGCGGAGTAGAGGAGGGGGGGCGGGGGAATCACCAAGAGCAGGGAACCCATTCCTGCCCACTGGCTCCTGTTTTCAGTCCAGCCGCCCAGGCCCCGAGGGAACAGAAGACAGTGCCTCAGCCCTTGAGCCTGAGGAGCGAGCATCCAAGCTACTGGCAGTGGGGGTGAGGGGTGGAGAGGTTATGAGGAGGTGAGAATTGCAGCCTTGGGGAGCCTGTTTCTTCACCTTACACACCTAGCCTCTCTACCTGCCTCCTCTCTGATTGGATGGCCTGAGAGGCGCTCCTGGGAAGGAGGGCTTTTCCTAGCTGCCCAGCTGAGGGAAGTGAGGTTAGACTCCTTCCTGTCCTTGCCAGCCACTCCGCCTTCAGGTCCTTTGCCTCTCCTGTGCTTCCTCAGGACCCCATCTTTCCCTCTCATCTCCTTCTCCCTGCCTTCTCCTCTTCTCCACCAAAATTAACAGACACACCACAACTGTCTGAAACTTGCCCCACATCAGCAAGTCGGTCCTGTCTGGAGAGTGTGGGCAGTGTTGAGTGCTGATACACGGATGTTCCACACCAGCCCCCTGAACACTGATACACGGATGTTCCACGCCAGCCCCTTGAATGCTGATACACGGATGTTCCACACCAGTCCCCTGAACGCTGATACACAGATGTTTCACACCAGCCCCCTGAACACTGATACACGGATGTTCCACACCAGCCCCTTGAACGCTGATACACAGATGTTCCACACCAGCCCCTTGAACGCTGATACATGGATGTTCCACACCAGCCCTCTGAACACTGATACATGGATGTTCCACACCAGCTCCCTGAATGCTGATACACAGATGTTCCATACCAGCCCCCTGAACGCTGATACACAGATGTTCCACACCAGCCCCTTGAACACTGATACACGGATGTTCCACACCAGCCCCTTGAACACTGATACACGGATGTTCCACACCAGCCCTCTGAATGCTCATATACTGATGTTTCACACCAGTCCTGGAAGTATCTAGCAGTCCAATGCATATGAAAAAAACCAAGGCGTAGGGGTGGGAGTGATCTGCACCCAGGCCACAGAGCCCTCAGGAGGTCAAAGTGAGATTAGGGACTGGAACACTGGGCTCCCACTCTACCAGGCTCCCTTGTAGTGGGTAGCCATTCCAGCTTGGATCTGGAAGTTCCAACTCCCATTGAGACTCTGGCAACTGTTGGAGACCTGAGAGCTGGATGGGTCAGCGCTCTCTCTGTGAGCTCTCTCTGTGCCAGGACGCTGAATTGTGCAGAGCTCCGGAGAACACCGCTGGACTGCGATACACCTTCCCCAGACCCTGCGACCTACCTTTCACTTAATTTGTGAGTTACGCCATTAAATAAATATCCCTTTAACTACGTGGAGTGGCCAAAATAATTTCTCCAATATCTGGCGCCCAACGTGGGGCATGAACCCATGACCCTGAGATTAAGAGTCTCATGCTCTACCGACTGAGCTAGCCCTGTGCAGAGAGAGCGCACAGAGAGAGCGCTGGCCCATCCAGCTCTCGGGTCTCCAGGCGCCTCCCCTCGCCCCGCCTCGTAGGTGTGACAGTTGCCAGAGTCTCAATGGGGGTTGGAACTTCCAGATCCAAGCTGGAATGGCTACCCACTACATTCCCTGACTGGAAAACAGGAGTGAGCTTTCTGAATTTCAGGATATCTGGTTAAGGCCACATGTCACCATTCCCTGCAAGATCTGGTTACTTTATAATACAGAACCTGAAGAGCTGTCCTTGGGTGAGCGAGATGACGCAGCAGTTCAGAGCCCAGCCTGAGATTCCGGAAAACCTGAATTCACATTGCACAGCTCACAACTTCCTGTAACTCCAGCACTATGGCATCCTGGACCCTCTTCTGGCCTCCTTGGGTACCACATGCACATGCACACAAGCACAAACGTGAGCACACACATACACACCAATTTTAAAAATTAAATAAATCTTTAATCCCAGCACTCATGATGCAGAGGCAGGGGATCTCTGTAAGTTCCAGGCCAGCATGGTCTACGGAGTAAGTTCCAGGACTACGCAGAGAAACCCTGTCTTGAAAAAACAAAAATAAATAAAAATTAAATAAATCTTTTTTTAAAAAGAGAGCTGTTCTCATAGAAGTAGGAAATAGAACAGTAGTTACTAAAGATCAGGAACAGTGAAGGAAGAAGAGGAGAGATTAGACAGTGGGTACAAAGGCTAGCTAACAGGCACAGGAGGATTAAGCTCCGGCATTCTACTCACACAGCTATGGACCACAGTTAACAGATCATGTAATAGATTATCATGTATTATGATTATGTTTTTGTTTTGACGTTGTTGTTGTTTGGTTTGGTTTGATACTGGGTTTCTCTGTGTAGCTCTGGCTGTCCTAGAATTTGATCTGTAGACCAGGCTAGCCTCGAACTCAGAGATCCACCTGCCTCTGCCTCCCAAGTGCCAGCATTAAAGGTGTGCGCCACCACCAACCTGTTACATCGTGTAATAGACATTTCCAAATAGCTAAGAGGAGGATTTCAAATGATTTCAGCAAAAAGAAATGAGGAATGTTGCATGTGAAATATATGCTAATAACCCTGATTTTATCATTGTATTATATATACATATATTAAAGTACAACCTGTACCCCATAAATATGTACAATAATGTGCTGACAGAAATATTAAAAAGAAAGCAGGCCTGGTGGGACACACCTGCAATTCCAGCACTCTGGAAGTGGAAGCAGGAGGTCAAGAGCTGAGGGCCAGTGTTGGTTACTTAGTGAGTTCAAGGCCAGCCTAGATACGCATCTTAAGAAATGAAAGAAAAAAGGAGGGAGGGGAAATGGCTTAGTGCCTGAGTACCTGAGTTCAAATCCCCAGAACCCATGCAAAAAGCTGGACCTGTAACCCTAGCAGTGTGGGAGGCAGAGATGGGAGGAACTTGTTGATTGCCAGAAACACAGAAACGCAAAGGGTCTGAAGACATTCCTTTAAAAACCACAGATGACCGATGGGCACTTGAAAAAACTTTACCAGCTTTAGAAAAATGGAAATCAAAACCATCATGAAGGCCGGTGAGATGGCTCACAGGGTGAAGGCATCAAGTATGACCACCTACGTTTGCTGCCTGGTGTCCACACAATGGAAGAGAGAACCAAGTCATACAAGTTGTCCTATGCCCTCCACATGCAAAGCCTTCCTCCCCTCAATAAACAAATGCAATCAAAAACATTAAAACAATGAGATACCAGGCGGGGTGGCGATGGCGCACACCTTTAATTCCAGCACTCGGGAGGCAGAGCCAGGTGGAACTCTGTGAGTTCGAGGCCAGCCTGGTCTACAGAGCAAGATCCAGGACAGGCTCCAAAGCTCCACAGAGAAAACCTGTCTCAGAAAAAAACAAACAACAACAAAAAACAATGAGATACCATCTCGAATGACTAAGATGGCTATAATAAAAAAGGACCTATAGTAACAAGTGCTATGGAGGAGGTGGAGAAATTAGAGCCATCGTCCGTTGCTAATGGGAAGGTAAATGGCGGGATTGCTTTTGGAAGACAGTCTGGCAGTTTCTCAAAAGGCTTAACAAAAATTGCCTTAGCAGCTCTACCTCTGAGAACACACCCAAAAGAAATGAAAACATGTAACACAAAAACACACAAAGAGATGGCTCAGCGCTTAGGAGCACTGGCTGCTCTGCCAGAGGACAGGGGTTCAATTCTCAGCACCCACATGGCAGCTCATGACTGTCCGTATCTCCAGTTCTAAGGGATCTGACACGCTCACACAGACATACATGCAGGCAGAACACTGACACATGTAAAATACAAATAAATAAAATCATTTTAAAAGAAAGAATAAAAAAAAGAAAGAATTAAAAAACCACATTGATGCATTCACAGGATTCATAATAGCCAGGAAGTGGAACCAACCCAAATGTCCATCAACTGCTGAACGGGTAAATAAAACACGGACTATCATGTATCAGTAGAATATACTTGGCAGTAGAGGAAAACAGAACTGGGGTGTAGCTCGGTGTGGGGAGGGGAGGTGGGGGAGGGGGCCCTCCCCTCCCCTTGTTTTATTATAAACAAGGTCCTGTTACATGCTACACTACAGGGGGATTTTTTTTTTTTTTGAAA